AACAAGCATTAAGCATTTACTGTGCTCCAAGCACTGTGCTAAGGTTTGGGAATACAAAGAAAGACAAAAACAGGGTCTCCACCTCAAGGAGCTCACATTCTCCTGGAGGAGACATTCAAATAACTAAGTACATACAAGATAGACTGTATACAGGGTAGATGGAAAGTAATTTGAGAGAGACAATGCAGTGGATAGAATGTTGTACACAGAGCTGGGAAGAATGAGGTTCGAATCCTGCTTCTGGCATTAGCTGTGTGACTATGCAAGCCACTTAATTTTTCAGTTTCTGTTTTCTTATCTGTAAAATGGGGATAAGAACACCCGAAGTACCCTACTTCACAGGGGATATTGTCTTTCCCTCAATTAAGAGCATTTTATTTCTTCCAATTACATGTAAATATAGTTTTCAACATTCACTTGTATAAATTTTGAGTTCCAGATTTCTTCTCCCTCCATCCCTCTCTTCCATTCTCCCAAAGATGGCAAGCAATCTGATATATAGCCTATATGTACAATACATACATACATACATATATATATGTATACACACACACACACACACATACACACACACACACACTATATATGCATAGCCTTTATGTGCAATCATATTAAACATGTTTTCACATTAGTTATGTTGTGAAAGAAAAATCAGAACAAAAGGGGAAAACCACGAGAAAGAAAAAAAAAGAAAAAGAAAAAAGAAAAGAGCAAATACTATGCTTCGATCTGCATTCAGATTCCATAGTTCTTTCTCTGGACGTGGAGAGCACTCCCCATCATGAGACTTTTGGAGATGTCTTAGGTCCTTGCATTGCTGAGAAGAGCTAAGTCTATCAAAGTCAGTCATCGCATCATGTGACTGTTACTGTGTACGATGTTCTGGTTCTGCTCACTTCACTCAGCATCAGTTCATGTAAGTCTTTCCAGGTTTTTCTGAAATCATTCTGCTTATCCTGAAATCATTTCTTATGGAACAATAGTATCCCATTTCATTCATATACAACAACTTGTTCAGCCATCCCCCAATTAATGGGCATCCCCTTAATTTCTAATTCTTTGCCACCACAAAAAAAACCTGCTACAATTATTTTTGTACATGTGGGTCCTTTCCCCTGTTTTTATGATATTATCTCTTTGGGATACATACCTAATAGTGGTATTGCTGGATCAAAGGGTATGCACAGTTTTATAGCCTTTTGGGCATAGTTCCAAATTGCTCTCTGGAATGGTTGGATCAGTTCACAACTCTACCAATAATGTATTAGTGTTCCAATTTTCCCACATTTATCCAACATTTATCATTTTTCTTTTTTTGTCATATTATCCAATTGGATAGGTGGTACTTTAGGGTTGTTTTGATTTGCATTTCTCTAATCAATAGTGATTTAGAGCATTTTTATATGGTTATAGATAGTTTTAATTTCTTTATTGCCTGTTCATATCCTTTGACCACACAGGGGATATTGTGAGGTTCAAATGAAATACTGTATGTTAAATACTTGGCAAACTCAACTTGTTCATTTGTTTTTCTGCCATGTCTGCCTCTTCATGACCCGATGTGGGGTTTTCTTGGTAAAGATACTGAAGTACTTTGTCATTTCCTTCTCCGGCTGAGGAAACTGAGGCAAACAGGGTTAAGTTACTTACCAGCTTCACATAGGCCAGATTTGAACTCACAAAGATGAATTTTCCTGATTCCAGGCCTGGCCCCTGTAGTTGCCCCAAACTTAACTACAAATGCTAATTATCTCTTCCTTTTTTTACATTTTTTGGGGGCTAGGCAATGGGGTTAAGTGACTTGCCCAGGGTCACACAGATAGTAAGTGTTATGTGTCTGAGGACAGATTTGAACTCAGGTCCTCCTGACTCCAGGGCCACTGCTCTATCCACTGGGCTCTCCTGTGCCCTTCTTCCCGTCTATCTAAGATCACAGGATCATTGATCCAGAGCTAGAAGGGATCTAAGAAGTCGTCAACTACTCCATCCTCTCTGCTTTACAGATTAAGACACTGAGGCCCAAGGAGGTACGATGAGTTGGCCAAGATCACATAACTAGTGACCTTCAGAGCTGGGATTTAGATCATAGGCTAAGGTGGAAGGGACCTCCAGAGATTCCCTTTCTAGCCCAACCTCCTCATTTTACAGATGAGGAAACAGGTAAGGTGATTTGTTCCAAATCACTCAGGTAATATGTGTCAGAGGTGGGTGGTAATATAAGGTGCTTTGATTGTTTCTGAAAACTGGCTACATGAGTAATATTCTTTTCCATCTCAAGTCAACGAGGGCTGAAAGTGTTGACACATGGAAGAAACTTTCTCCCAAGAATGTTCCATGTGGGAGATCCCTTAAGAGATTATTGAGTCTAGCCCTCATTTTACAGGTGAGAAGAAGTAATTTTCCGGTGGTCACCCAGCATGGAGACTTGAGCCTAGGTCTTCTGACCCAAAGCCCAGCCTTTGTTTCATCACTTTTCACGGCCACTTCTATAGATGATACATGTTGGGAGCCCTAGGAACAAATTAGTTTGTAGCTACAGTAGCCCTAACATAAGGAAGGCAACACGATTCAATAGAAAACGTATGAGATTTGGAATTGAGGACCCAGATTCAATTCCTTCCTATTACCTTATTACCTGTGATCTTGGGTAAGTCATTTAACCTCTGTGGGTTTCAGTTTCCTCATCTGAAAAACAACAACAACAACAACTTGATCATAATATGATAGATTTCATACTGGAAGGCACCCGAGGCCATTTAGTTCAAATCTTTAATTTTACAGACGAGGATACCGAGGGCTAAGTGATTTGTCTAATGCCATACAGGTAGTAAGTGGAGTGGGGTGGGGGTGGTTCCATGTCCTCTGAATCCAAATTCAGATCATCTCTAAGGTCCCCCATTCAGCTCCAAATCCAGGATCTTGGGTAAGACTGATGTGGGCTGAGAGCATTCTATTCCTACTATGCTTTGGTGGGTTCATTAATTCCATGGAAAGTTCTATTACTATAAATCCTATTACAACAAGGTACGCCATTTTCCAAACCTTGGCCGATAAAATGGGCTCACCCATTTTAAGCAATATTGGATACAACTGAATTCTAGTAATAACAATACTGTGAAAAGTCACTTCCATACAATGGTCTCTGTTTCTTCATCTGGATCATAGAATCATAGACTTAGGACCTTCAGAATCATCTAGTCCACTCTCCTATGAACTCCTTGAAAGCCTGTCTTTGTGTGTCCAGTACTTAGCACAGTGCCTGGCATATAGTAGGCATTTAATAAATGCTTGTTGACTCATTGACTAAGCCTTACAAAGGTGTAGTGACTTTCAGGCCAATTTGCTAAACCGGGATTTAAACACAAGTCCTCCAGGCAGAGATCCTTTTTCTTTACAGGGCTTCCTCTTCCGTAAGGCTGTTGCATTGATCTCCTCAGTCCAGATCCTATGATCCTGTCCTTACATTTACATAGCCCTTAATAGATGACCAAAAAAAGATCATGGGTATTATGTTGTCTGATCCTTTGAGACAGGTAAAAGTGGCAGGTTATAGGGGGAGATTGCTGAGTCTCCAGTCAGGAGAGACAAGGGTTCAGATTCCAGCTCTGACCTTGCCTGGCTGTGTGACTGTAGGCAAGTCACGATGTCTTCAAGCCTCAGTTACAGGGGTAGTAATACTTTAAAACCCATCAGAAACCGTAAAGTACTATAGAAAGGGGAGTTGTTATTATCCCCATTTTACAAATGAGGGAAAAAGACTTAAAAGAGGTGGTGACTTATGCAAAACTGCAGTTTGTTAGTGACAGGGTCAGGATTTGAACCCAGATCCTTCTGACTCCTTGTCTGGGGCTCTTTTCACTACTTTACTTTTTTACTCCACCAGAAGAACTCAGCTGGCCTCCAAGCTTCAGGGACTTCTTTTGTGAATATCACATATACATTTCAGTTCAGCCACCATCCTAGAGGATTAGAACTTCCAGGGTATTTACAAGTGGGAAGATTAGCCTGGTTTCAGGCTGTTTAAGATGTCAGCTGCTGAGGGAGAGCAGGACGTAGCATTTTCCCTGCAAGTGGCTAAGTGCTAATTTTGTTTAGTGTAAACTTGCTCATCTTCTCTGAACTGTGCCAGTTTGGGAATGATTTCCCATCAGTTGATGTGCCTTTCAGGGGGAGATCCCTGACTGACCAGCAGCATAGCCTTGCATTTCCCCTTTCCCCCCCACTGCCAGTTACAAAACCCACTTGAATTGAGGGTGGACAGCCAGCCCCATACTGTATGCCAAGAGGAGGCAGAGGCTGGAGGGCAGAGTGGTAGTGGTGTCAAGGGAGCATAGCACTTGCAAGGGACTTAGAGGGTAGGAGTCCCACTTCCTCATTTTACAGATGAGGAAACTGAGGCCCAGGACAATTAAAGTGACTTGCCCACAGGTAGTAAGCAGTGGAGGTGGACTTTGGAAACACAGATTTAGAACTAGAAGGGGACTTAGAAATCACCTAGTGCCCAGTCCCCTAGTTTTACAAATGAGAAACTGAGGCCCAGAGCAATGAAGCATTTTGCCATCAGGGGTGGGAGTTGGAGCATAGATGTAGACCTGGAAGGGGCTTTAGAGACCATTCTTCTAGTCCACGCTCTTTATCTTATAGATGAAGAAACTGGGGCCCAAGTGACGCGTCTCAGGTAGTAAGTAAGCATCAGAGGTGCTATTTGAACCGGGGTGCTGACTCTTAACTTTGCAGTGGGCGGATTTCAGCCGGCCTGGAGGCCCTCCAGGTCCCGACTAGGCTGTCACCCCGGCAGGGCTGTCCCTGGCCACTTGGAGCTGGTGCTCTGAGGCTGGCTGATGCCCCAGGCGGGGCCCTCAAGTGTGCGACTGCCCACGGGGCGCTCCTCCCTGGGCTCCTGCCGGCGGAGGCGGCTTCTTCGGAGCGTGGGGGCCGCGGGCGCCCAAGACTGCGCTGCGCTGCGCCGCGCTGTGCCGCGGGGGCGCTGCTGGCTGCGCTCTAGGTGTGTGGGGTTGGGCTGGTGGCTGTGCTCCTGCTGCTGCTGAGGCTGCTGCTGCCGCCGCCGCCGCCTCTCCCAGAGCGGACGATGCTCCAGGTCCGAGCTGCTGGCCAGCGCTGCCCCGGCCCGGCTTCCCTGCGCCGCTGAGCCCTGTCGGGGACCCGAGCCCTCGGGCCGCTGCAGCCGCTGCTCCCCGGAAAGGGCAGAGGGCGAGCCCGGACTGGCCGAGCCATGACGGAGGCGAGCAGCAGGAAGGAAGGGTTCAAGAAGTGCCGGAGCGCTACTTTTAGCATCGATGGTTACAGCTTCACCATTGGTGAGCCTTCCGAATTCCGCCCTCCCACTTTCTCCTCTTCCTCCTTCCTTCTTCCTTCCCTCCTCCCTGGTGTGTGCTGGGCTCTCCTGCCTTCTCCTGACCCCTTTCTGACAGAGGGGCTTCCTACCCTGCACGCGACCGTGTGCAGGCTCCTAGAGTGAGTGTCAAACAGAAACCTCGTGGAGGGACGGCGAGCTCTGGGAACTTTGGCTGGTGCTGTTGCAGGCTGTAGATCCAGGTTTCTGGCCGTTCTGCATGCGCGGGCTCCAACTTCAGGGAAGCTAGTGTCCAGGGAGCCCGTGATGCGAGGAGGGCAGTTTTCTGAGTTGACTGGGTTTCCTGACCACCAGTTCACTGACAAGTAGGGAGAACACAGGGATCGGGTGTTTGCAGGGAAAGAAAGAAAGAAGGAAAGAAAGAAAGAGAAAAGAAAGGAAGGAAGGGAAAGCAAAGGAAGGAATAGGAGGGAAAGAAAGAGGAAGAAAGGGAAGGAGGGAAAGAAGGAAAAGGAGGGAAAATGAAAGGAAGGAAAGAAGAGAGAACAAGACTGGAAAATTCTTTGGGGAGTTGCTATTTGTGTGAATGATGAATGACAATGTTTAGCACATTTTCTTCCCTCCTACCTTCTCCTTTCTAGGTCTACTCTTTTCTCTTTATTCACAAATCACTCAGACTGGGAAATACACTCCACGGAGGGTCTGGTTTATTTTAGGGAGCAGGACTTCGGGGGGTGGGTGGGTGGCCCTCTGTTTCTTGGCTGAGATTCGAGCCAAGGGACATCTGACAAGTCTGGTCCTTCTTTGCCAGCTTGGACCTCAGTTGTACCACGCTGGCTCGGACCTGTAGTTGTCTGTTCAGGAACTGACAGAAGTTGTCTGGTCATCTTACTTAACTAAGGAGGCAGAGGGGTGGTGGTGGTGGTGGTGGTGGGAGGGAGGGGCAGGCTAACTTTCCTCTGACAAATGACAGGGAGGGTTCCTTTCTGACAGTATTTGGAGAGACCAGACTAAGACAGGCAGAGTATATGCGTATGTATGGGGAGCCCAGCTCAGTGGGCTGTCTTCAGCGTCTCTCTTGCTAGGACAGGTCCAGATGACTGGCTGGCTGACTTGAAGTCTGAACTCGCCATCAACTGGCACATGAGGGCGAGCTCTCAGAGTCTCATGTCAGTGCCTGGCAACTTATGGAAGATTTTCCTTTTTGTTGTTTGGTGGCAGGGAAACATTTGTGAGCTTAGGATCTATAGCCAGAAAGAAGGGACAGGTAGGGAAGGAGGTGGGGATGTTTCCTTAAATGTGAAATGAGGGGATTGGCGGTGATGAAATCTAACATCCTTTCCAGCTTGAAATCTTCCAACTTCTGATTGTGTGCTGGTTTGACGTTCTCTTCCCTTCGCAAGTGCCTACCACAGACTGCTTTTTTGTTTCTTTTAATAAAATGGTACAGGATTTCTGGAATTTGGAGTTGAGTTTCACTACAAGGCCACTGTTTTGTCAATTTTTTTTGCCTTGAAGGTTAAGTAAACTTAAATTTTTCATTGATATCTTTTGTTTTTCACATCACCTCCATTTCCTAATGTATGCTTCCTCCTCCTCAACCAAGAGGTCATCCCTCATAATGAAGAATAAAAAACAAAGAGTAGAAAAAAGAAAGTTATCAAAAGTCATCAATAGATTGACCAAAGCCAACAATATATTCAATATTTCATGTGCTTTTCAATGAGTGAACCTTAAGTTGGAAGGTAAAAATTCAAACAGGGCAAGACGTTTAATCTTCAAATGGTTGTGGCTTTGTAAATCCTGATAAAGTGCTTGGAACCCCTTCTCTCATAACCTTTTGCTCAGATCCCCTCTATGAATATATAATGATGTGTCCAAGATGTATTATTACTTAATGAAATGCAAAAGGATTGTACATTCATATCTACAGGGGCCTGATTTCTTTTTACAAAGGAGGAAACTGAGGCTCAGAGGGCCTCAATGACTTGCTCAAGGTCACAAGCCTTTTGAGTCTTAAGACAACAATCTTTTCACTGACCACAACTGGTTATTTAATCAAAAGGGTGGAGAGAGAAGAGAAGGAAGAAAAAGAAGACAGCTGAGAGGAGACATGGAATTCTCATACTGGAAGGACTCTAGGCAGTAATTCAGATTAGCCCCGACCTTCCAGCCAGGACTGAATCTGGAATAAGAGTTCCAAGTTTTCAAAACATTCCTTGAAAAGCATCCCAAAGATATGGCTTTTCCAAGATGATTCTAGGTCATCTTTTAAAGCACCCTACTCAATTGAGGTCAAGCTTCTAGTTTTCTTGGCTTAGGATAGTTGTGAAGCAATAATGAGACAGCTAGATTGACAAACAATTGTGGAATTTCTCTTCTAACCTTTCATCTTTCAAAGGGAGCGCAGAACTCCTCTAGTCCCCTTAATCCCCACATCTTCTTCATGAGGCATCCAGAGTTCAGAGAGGTCAAGTCTTGCTCAAGTTAGTGCCGCAGCTGAGACTCAAACCTAGTTCTCCTGATCCCTGGTCTGGTGTGCTTTTCATTATGCCAGACTGCCTGTCTTATGCGTTAGTGACCCATGATTTTTCTTCCCCTGACAAAGATCTCAACTGGTCCAACTAATATTTACATAGTGTTTTAAGATTTGCAAGGTGCTTTGGAAATCTTACCTCATTTTCTCTTTACAACAACCCTGGGAAGTAGGGACTATTATTATCCCTGTTTTACAGATGAGGAAACTGAGGCACATACTGTTTAAGTGACTTGCCCAGGGTCACACAGCTAGTAAGCGTCTGAGGCAGGATTTGAATTCAGGCATCGTCTGTAACTCCAGGTCCTGCACTCTATCCACCGTGCCACCTAATTGCCCCTAAGGTGGTCTATGGCCTAAAGTCTTTGGAGAGTTGCCTGAGATTCAGAAGGGAAGGGACTTGCCCATGATCCTATAGCTGGTGAGCATCAGAGGCACAATCTGAGCCCAGCTCTTTTTGGTTCCAAGTTCAGCATGAGGACCACTAACCCAAACCTTTCCTCTCTCTTGAAGAAGTGATGTAAAAAGAGTAGGAGTTCTCTACGCTAGTACTCAACAGTTGTTCCTTAAGAAAATGCTTCTCTTCTGTCTAAAAGGGCCCATATTTTCCAACATTCTTTTATGTGGAATTTCCATTCACTCACCTTTTTCTTCCTTTTAATTGGAAGATATGCAAAATCATGAGGGTTGCTTCTCTTTCTTTGGTCCATTCTTGAGAGTCCCTAGCACTAGGTTTAGCGTAGGAAAGGACCTTGGGGATGATCCAGTCCGGTTTCATTTTACAGATGAAGAAACTGAGGCCCAGAGATCACAGATGCCCTTTATCACAGAGCCAGTGAGTGTCAGAGATAGGACTTGAACCCCGTTCTTCTTGATCCCAAGTCCAGTATTCTGAAGACTCAACTAAAAAGTAGAAAATAAAGTTATTATATTTAAAATGAATTTTATCTTTTTGTTTTTATGTCACCTCTATTTCTCAGTGTATCTCTTCTCCTCCCCTTCCTAATGAACAATCCTTTATAAGAAAGAATAAAAAAGAGGGAAAAAACCCAACACTTCAACAAGCTTATCAATATATATAAAGTGTTTTGCAAGCCCTAAAGCCCTGTATAAAGGTTAGCTATTATTATTACTATTATTATATCAATGGTCCATACCTGTAGTCCCTCATCCACATATAGGGAGGGGGAGGGGCCTTTCTTATCTCTTTTTTGGGACCAAGCTTGGTCATTCTAAGAGATTGGGTATTTTATCCTCCCCCTTTTTTTAGACTAGACTTGTGATTTCATTGGATACGAGACCCCCTTGACAGTGTGAGCTTCCTGGGACCCTGAGAGGTTGGAATGAAGTTATGTAGCCAGTATGGGTCCGAAGCAGGACTTGAACTGACTTCCAGATCTTCCTGACCCCCAGGCTGGCTTTCTATCCATTATGCTGCCTCACCTCTGGAGAAATAGTATTTAAAAAACATTTCCTCCCGTGTGGCACTTCTGTGGCACAAATCCACGTTTGGATCATCATATGACAATGCTTGTCTCCAAGTTCCCACGTATCAGTGTCATGGCCTGGTCCCACCAGAAGTATCCCTAAATATGGCTTTGTACAAAGATAGAGCAGACGATCCCCCACATGGCAGGCTGAAGGGTCCCAATCTTCCTCGGCCAGCTATCGCAAATTTCCTCGGCTCTGTTGACCCTATTTTAATGAACACATCTTCCTGGAAGGGTGTGGAGGCGTGGCTGACGCACTACTAAACTAATAGAGACCAGTTCTTTTCAGAGTCTTTCCTTATGAAGGGGATGGGAGATTTTTCCATGATAACACTGGGTTGCCTGAGATGGGAGTAGACGGAAAGGGGGAGAAGGGGCCACCTTGCTTGGGTTCCTGGCCCAGCGAATCCTTAAGGATCGTGCCTCAGTAAGCATCACCTTCCCGATTCCAAAGCCCTTTGTGATGATGACCTGGCTTAGGCCAGAGGACGCTCATGAGGATGGTGAAAGAGAGGATTTCAGGGTTTGGCTCTGGTCTTGGAGAGGCCCTGGGGGCACTGAGCTGGCCTGGCTTCCTGATCGACTGGAGCAAATTGGGGGTGACCTGTCAGTTTAAGAGAATTCTCAGGCAAGTCTGATAATAAACTATAGTCAACATTCCCGTGGAGCATTTGCAACGTGATATATAAAACATGACCTCCTTTGTGCCTCACAACAACCTGGTGATGTAGGGATGATTAGCCCCATTTTACAGATGATGAAACTGTAGCCTAGAGATATTGAGTAAGTTGCCCATGGTCATATAGCTAGTGTCAGAAGAAGGCCTTAAACCCAAGTCTTGTAACTCATTCCCAAACTCATCCAACCAGGAGTGACCCAAGTTGTAACTGGCTCAGAAGACTTCCTGACAAAAGATCATTTGGGGCTGGACCAGAAGAAGCTTTTTATGGAAAGGCAGGGGGGAGATGAGCCTAATTT